GGTAAGAGAGAGAGAGAGAGAGAGAGAGAGAGATAATGGAGGGGAGGAACGAGATGAGAAAGGGGCGGAGGGTAGTAAAGGGAAGGGAAAGGGATGAAGATGATGGCAAACTGCAAATATGCGGCATCTTCATCAACATAGATTACTGCTCCCCCGTGATGTCGCCGAATAAGGTCACCTTACTCTTATTACGCTCGTTATACTACTTTCAGGCAAGCGTGGGACAAGCTCTTCCACCAGCAAGCCCTCACCCGCCTTCCCCGTGACTTCACTTGCTGAGATCAAAGATGGACAAATAGAACCTCTAGCGGCGCCGGTCTCCCGAGCCGTAGACTCCGGGGGACGGGGAGAGGATGGCGTTCGAGATGAGATAAGGAAAGAGGAAGACAATGGCGGAGGAGATAACAACGGTGTCTGTGACACAGCGAGTGACGTCACCGAGAAGTCTGAGAAACTCGGCGGCCCGCCTCTCCGAAGCTCGTCCTCTTCTTCTTCATCTTCTTCCTCTCACTCGTCAGGGTCAGCGAAGAAGAACAAGCAAAAGAAACCGCGACGTCCTGTGTCTGTTGCCGTCGGGAGTAATGACGGGCCATGTGACGTCGTCTCTGGTAGAGGCGAAGGTCTTTCTGTTAAAGTCACCCCAAGATCAAAATCTGTGGACTATCTTGACCCGGTCAAATTTCTTGTGAAATCCAAAGACTCCAACACGAAGATTCTGGACCTTTCGAATGCTGTGAAAATACCTGTGACGTCTGAAGGAGTTATGCAGCCTGACCTTATGACCTACAGGTCAGGGGACTGCAGTGTTGTTGTGCCAGAAAACGTTGCTATGGAAGGACAAGTGGAGGCAGATTTTAATTCACCTGAAGAGGCGCTTAGCGCCCAATTTCTTGAGGCACAGACGATTTTTGATGACCCTCAACCTTCATCGAAAAATGAGGGCGAAAAAGGAGGTGACAATGAGGAGGAGTCAAAGAATAACAGCGTCAACGATGCCTCGTTCAAGTCAAATGATTCTGGAAATAGCAAAGAGGAGGTGAAACTTACTAGTGGCTCAAATTCACCAGAACAAATGGAGGTGAATGGCGAAGTAAAGGAATCAGTGGTAGAGCAACAGAAAGTTGATCCAGTAAGCTCGCCGAAGCTTCTGTTCAAGAAGATGCAGAGCCTAGATCTCCTGGAGACCAGTGTGGACGAAGTCGGAGAGGAGGGGGAAAAGAGAAAGAGGAGTGGGTCAACTAGTTCCTCGTCGTCTTCTTCGAGTGATTCGTCTAAGGAGGAAGATGATAAGAAGGTTTCGTCTACAAAAGAAGAAAATGGCAGTCTTCAGAAAAGCGAGGTTGTTGTTCGGTCAGCCCCAACTATTGCTGACATAACAATGCAGATTGTTCCTCCAACAGAAACGTACACAGTTAGTGAAGATAGCTTTCCAACTTCACAAGAAGTTGTTTTTCCTAAAGAAGATCAATTTATTGAAGAAATAAAAAAGGACGATGTTTCTGTAGAAGTGCCAGAGGTGAAAATTATTGAGGAAATCCCCATAGTGGTAGTGGATGTAGACGCTAAGCCGGAGGGTAAAAACTCCAGTAGTTCCTCGAGTTCGTCCAGTGAGTCAGGAGTTGAGGACGAGGTGACAAAGGGTCAAGACGATGAGGTCAAGGTGGCAGTTACAGCTGAGACGTCTCCAATACCTGAAGTCTTCGTGGAAGTGGAGAAGGAGCCTGTCGCGGTCACAGCCATTGAGACAGGTATTGACAGTGTTACAGAAGCTAATATTGGAATTAATTATCAAGAACCCACCAGTCATCAAAGTCTCAACACGTCTTCCTCATCTTCCTCTTCGTCATCTTCGTCGTCGTCGGCAAAACCACTGAATGACCCCGTTGTTTATGACAATTTGGACAAAAAAGATCAAGAGGTTGATGTCTGCACCTGTTTGCCAGAACAAACCACGTGTGAGAATGATAGTTGGGAGGCAGTCTACGACGCACTACAGAACGCTGATACTGAAAAACAAAGGCAGAAAAACTCCGTCCATTCGATTCCGACAGAGAGTAAATCACAAGAAGCAGAAAAAGAGAACCGTGCAACCCACAACAGCAGCTCAACAAGCCACCCTACCGATATGGGGGAGACAACTGAGATAAATGAACCACCAAAAGAAAAAGGTTACCTCCCCGATCTGAGCCGGCCAATGCAGCCTGATGAGAGTGTGTCTCCACTATCTTCACACACTGATACCCATGGAATCGCACTACCAATACCTGCTCCTAGGAAAGCGCGCTCCTCTTCATCCTCATCATCATCCTCGTCATCGTCCTCTAGTTCTGATAAAAGGAAACAGTCGACTGTGGATATTCCAGACGATAAATCTGATAAAGAAAGAGCGAAATCTGAGCTGGAAAATGATGTAGCTGAAACTGACAAAGGGGGCAGGCCAAAAGAAAAGAAGAAAGATTCTCCTGAGGCAACACTGCAAGTCAATGAAGAAAAGGTGGAGAGCCCCATAATCATAGAAAGTTCTATGAAAGTTCCTGAAAGACATGAAGAGGAATCTCCTTCTTCACCCACTGAGACCAGGAAGGGGAAAGATAAAAAATTAAAAGACAAACCACCCAGGTCGTCGGAGAAAAAGGACGCAGCAAACACTTCGGCTTCTACAACGTCGTCAAGCGACTCCGGTCGGTCGAGGGGCAGTCTAGTGGGAAAATTATTTAAGTGGCCATTTGGGAAAAACAGGAAGAAATCTGAAGACATGTCCAGTGAAGTGAGTGATAGAAATACTTCTGTGAGTGTCGACAGTTCCATTCAAGATGAGCAAAAGTCGAGAGTTGAATCTGTTGATTCTCATTCTGACACATCCCACATAGAGGATACAAGTTGTGACGTCAGTCAGGTCAGTGGAGTCAGTAGTCAGGGTGGGTCTTCTTCAGTCGCGGACAAAACACTCTCAGCGACCTCCACATCTTCTGATGACGTTACTCCCAGTGTATCTGTAGCGGACAAGAGTTTTGTAGAATCACTCCAATCTGAAATCCAGGTGTGTTCCCAATCCACTCCAAAAAATAACAGGCGAGATTTGCCTCAAATCGGTTCCGAATCCCAATCTTCAGAACCGGTTCCAGACCGGACTCGTCGTTCTTCCAAGTCCTCAGAATCCGGAAAATCTGGGAAATCAACTCCTAGAGCCGGATCACCACACAGCAGAGGGTCTGCATCACGTGACACATCCGTTGATGAGTCCAGGTCTGGGGTGAGCCCTCAAAGAGCAGGAACACGAAAGAGTAGTAGAAGTAAGAGCTCTGAATCGTCCATGTCCTCCCATAGCCAGGTATCTCAGAAGGTGCCAGAGGACAAAAATACCAAGAAAGCGCCAAAGTCTGCTGACACTTCCTCACGTGATCATAGCGTAATAGACGCGTCAGAGCTTGACACGTCGATCGCCTCGGACGCCATGTCACAACAACGAAAGGAAAAAGAACGGAAAAGAAAAGAAAAAGAGAAGCGCGAAAAGAAAGAAGCGAAGGAAAAGAAAGAAAGGGAAAAGAAAGAAAGAGAAAAGAAAAGGAAAGAGAAGCGAGAACGAGAAGCATTGAAGAAAGAAAAAGAAGAGAAGAAGAAAGATTCCGAAAAGAAAAAAGACGAAAAGAAAGATGAAGATGTTAAGGAGCAGGACAGTAAACACTCACAAAAGGCAGACCGAAAGAAAGAGGCCAAAGTTGAGAAGCGTGAGGAGAAAGCTGACCGAGAGATCAAATCGGAGGTTAAAACGGTCTCCAGCGTAGGAGAACCAAAAATAGACGATCGCGAAAAACGAAAGGATAAAAAATCTGCAGAGGCTGACACAGAGAAAAGGCGAAACAAAGACAGAAAATCGCGAGACAGAAAGCCGAGTAAGGAAAAGAATGAAAATAAAAAACACACTGATGTAAGAGACCACATGGATGAATCACAAGCTCAGTCTTGTGGCGGAGAGCCAGTAAAGTCTAAAAATAAAAAATCCAGTGACAAGGAAAAAGTTAGAAAACCGAGCGACAGTGAGAGGCGAGAGAGCGTAAAATCT